AAATACACAGTTGCCATTAATACTAATTTTTTAAATGCAAAAGTAAGATGCAAATGTTTTATGGTGATTTAACAGGTCAGACGTCCGTGAGGAAGGCCTCATTTCCTCCACTTATAGTCTCTTTGTCTCACCAATTACCAGGCCTGTTCTGGAGTTGTTACTGCCCGTGTTTTCACTCACTTTGTGGAAAACTGCAGTTTTGTAATGTTTGCTGACTTTGAGATAGCCTCATAATTAAAACTGCCAAATGAGCAGGCACTCTTAGGGATTTCATCCACTGAGCCCCTGTTGATGTGGATCAAGGTCGAGACCCTCAGTTTTGCCTGTTTAAAAAACATTCTAAGAATGTTTTAAGGCAACTGATCCAGTTGGGCCTAAAGTAAACAAAAAGCATTCAGTTGGCCCAAATAATTTTCTTTTTGCCCTTTTAAATCTGGAGCTTGTCAAAGCATTAATTCTCCCTTATTAATATTTGTGCTAACACATGATAACATTTCACAATCAAAACAGAATTCTGCTTCAGTAATTGAACCAATATGCCATATTACCTAGATTGTTTTTAACTACAAGAGACAACCCCCCCCCTTTTTTTTTTTTTGAGACGGAGCCTCAAGCTATCCTCCTAGGTAGAGTACTATGGCATCACGCTCACAGCAACCTCCAACTCCTGGGCTCAAGCGAGTCTCCTGCCTCAGCCTCCCAAGTAGCTGGGACTACAGGCGCCCGCCACAACGCCTGGCCATTTTTTTGGTTGCAGCCATCATTGTTTTTTGGCGGGCCCGGGCTGCCACCTTAGGTGTATGTGGCTGGCGCCTTAGCCGCTTGAGCCACAGGTGCCGAGCCAAGAGACAAACTTCTGAGTCTTAAAAGAAATTTGTTCCTTTGTAGAAAACGCAGCTACAGCTACACCCTTAGAACAAATCCATTCTTAGAGATTTATAATCTCTTCACTGCAACAGGCGACTATGCTGCTTTTCCTTCTCTCTTCCAACTTCTGATCCTATGAAATAAGTAAACAGGCAGCACCAATTGGTAGGAAAGAAATAACCAGAATCCTCCAGCAAAGCAGGGATCTCCCTGCCCTGGGCAAAACAGTAATTACAGCTACAAATGCCCAGCTGCACTAATGAAAAGATTAGTACCACTCTTAAAGTGCATGGACTCTAAGCTGGCCATCAGTAAACATGAATGAAACCTTAATGATATAACTGGTTATCAGGTTTTCTAAAACATTGAAGAAGCTTCTCTGCAGTCTGAGAAATGCCTGTACCCTTTTGTCGTGGGGAGTGAAATATGCCTCTGTGATTTATAACCTAACTCCTGTGGTAACTGGGCCCAGCTCTCTTTCCTACTGCAAGGGGACCCTGTTAAATATTTTCCCTTTACTCTCTACTATCTCTCTCTCCCTCTTTTTTTATTTGCAATTTTTGGCCAGGGCTGGGTTTGAACCCGCCATGGAGTGGGTGCCCTATTCCTTTGAGCCACAGGCACCACCCATCTACTCTTTTTGACTAGCCTTCTGCCAGGTGTGTTGAGAAGCCCTCAGCATAGAGTGGTTCAGGGGATCCTCACTGCCCTGGGTGGCAGAAGCCACCATATTATAGATGAGGAAACTGAGACACAGAACCTAAGACATTTTCCTAAGGTCACATGGGCTTCTCTGAGATTAAGCCACCATTAAAATCCAGGTCTCTCCAGAGAGCCTGTGTTTGTAATTGTCTAGATACGATTCTGCCTTCTTTACCATTACTGCTTTTTTTTTTACTCTAGAACCTCTTTTATTTCTTATTTGAGCAGTTCCCCCATGTACAATCTAAAGAGGGGATTGGAGTATTCTAAATGCTCCTTCAATTTTAAGATGCCATTTTATTTTCAATTGTGGTAAAATGCACAGGTAAAATTTACCATCTTAAGTATTTTTAAGGGTACAGTCTGGTGGTACTAAGTGCATTCACATGTTTTGCAACCCAGCCCTATCATCCATCTACAAAACTTTTTTCATTTGCGAAATTGAAACTACATACCCCTTAAATATTACTTCCCCATTTCCCTCCCTCCCCTCAGCCATCACCGTTCTATTTTCTATCTCTGTGAATCTGACCACCTTTAATTAACAGAAAAGGAAAGAGGGGAGGAAGGAGGATTGATTCCAGCTATCTTCCAATGCTAAAGTCATGAAGTACATCCCAAGTTCTTAAATATTAAATGGGAGAAATCTAACATTACCATCAAATAATTAAATTATAAGCCAAACACACTCTACTTGCTGGATTCTCAATGCTGGTGCAAGTTCCCTTTTGGTTCTAAAAGTACAAAGCCCACCGTGGGGGCTGTGCAGGGACCACTCCGCCCACACCTGAGCCTGATCACCCCCAGCACCCACTCTTGCTCTCCCCTTCATGCTTTGGCCTCTGCCCCTTGCCATCTTTCTTCTTTTGTACTTGCATTCTCTGTGTGTTTGAGAAAACATAATGTGGAAAATTTGGGGTCAAGATGAGGGAATACATGTAAGTAAGTGAGATATAAATAATACTTAACAACAACAAAAAACCCTTCTCTCTCTGGATCTACATCTAGTTTATTTTGTTACTGTTATTTTTAGAACAAAAATTAAATCTTCCTAAGTTCTGTTAAGTATTTGTCATTTTGCGGATTCTTAAGTTTAAAATATTAATATTGAGATAGAAAAGTAGCCCCAAAACATAGACTAATAAGCCATTCTCCATCCCCAAGAAGTTCTGAATAACATGATTTCGTTCAAATGGGTACTCCACTTTACAAATAGTTTCATTACAAATATAATTATTGAGTACCTATTGTATGCCAGGCATTGTTCTAAGCACCAGGGATACAGTTTTTTTTTTTAATAACAAAGGTAAAAAACCTGATTTATGATGCTTATATTCCACTTGGAAAGACAGAAAACCAATTCTGTAAGTGTGACAAACACACAGTACATAAGAAAGAACAAACAGAATGCTAAGAACACAAAGCAGGAGGGTGGAATACAAAGAATAAATGTGTGTACGGGTAGACAGGGTGGTGAGGGAAGGCCTCGCTGAACGCATAGCTTCTGAGCAAATGCCAGAAGAACGTGAGGGAGCAAGCCTTACAGACACGTAGGGAAACAGCCTTCCACCAGGCAGAGGAGACAGCCAGTGCAAAGACCCTGAGGCCAGCTGAACTGGCTTGTCTGAGGCTTAGTGAAGAATTCAATGTGCTTGAGTGGAGTGAAAAGGGGAAGGGTTGTAGTGAGAGGTGAGGTCCAAGGGTCCTGGGGAGCAAATTTTATAAGGTCTTGTGGTGCACAGGGAGCACTCTGGATTTTACTCTAAGATGTGACATCATTCACAATTTCTGAGAAAGGAGCGAGTGACATGATTTAACTTACATTCAGAAGTCATCATCACCCTTTTTTATCCTTTCCAGAAATACTTTAACAGGATGCATCGAGCATGTGTTAACAGAAATATTTTAGACACATGTCAAAAAGTTAACCACGGGTACTCTTACAGGTATTACAATGTGGCTTCTGGATGCCAGCAGGGGGTTCTTCTAACAATAGCAAATTCCTTTCTTACTATGTGCTAAATAATCAGACCAGTATGGAATAATGAAGGGGTGAGATAGGATGCAAAATGGGTGAAGGAATATGCTAGAAAACACCTAATTTCAGAGCATAAGGCAATCCCCAAAGAAATCAGCAAACCTGGACCCTTAACTCTCAGGCGGAGAAGCTGGCAGAGCAAATGCAAAGTTTAACAGTCGGGCATCGTGTGTTTTATAAGGAAACTATCTCCAGCCGCCCAGATTGTGCAGCTGTACCACCACAAGGTACTCAGCAGAGAGTAAACTGGGTGGGAACATAAGACGATCTAGCACAAGATTGGGGGGAGCACCGGACTTTGTGCCACATCACATGAAAACAGGACACACTATCAAGGCTCCCAAAGCAAACAGCTTCCATTTCTATCACAGATGCAAAACCACATTTTGATTCTTCTGAATTATTTTCACTACATTTTATACAAACACAATTAACTCACAAGCATATCAGTGCATCTTAAAACTGCCCTTTAAAACACTAGATTGTGGCTCAAGCGGCTAAGGCGCCAGCCACATACACCTAAGGTGG